CATTTGCATATCTGAGGTTATTGATATTTCTCCCAGCAATCTTGATTCCAGCCCGAGTTTTATCCAGCCCAGCACTTTGTGTGATGTACTTTGCATGTGTTAAACAAGCAGGGGGACAATATACATCCTTGATGTTCTCCTTTCCTAATTTGGAACCAGTTCATTGTTCCACATCCAGTTTTAACTGTTGCTTTTTGACCTGCATAAGGGTTTCTCAAGAGGCAAGTTAGGTGGTCTGGTATTCTCATCTCTTTCAGAATTTTCCAGTTTGTTGTGATCCACACTGTCAAAGACTTTAGCGTAGTCAATAAAGCAGAATTAGATGTCTTTTGGGAACTCTCTTGCTTTTTCTATGCTTCAGTGGAGGTTGGCATTTTGATCTCTGGTTCCTCTGTCTTTTCTATATCCGATTTGTACATCTGGAAGTTCTCAGTTCACATTCTGTTGAAGCAGAGGTTGGAGGATTTTGAGCATGACCTTGCTAGCATATGAAATGTGTGCAATTGTGTGGCAGTTTGAGCAATTTTTAGTGTTGCCCCTCTATGGGATTGTAGTGAAAACTGACCTTCTTCAGTCCTTTGGCCACTGCTGAGTTTTCCAAATTTGCTGGCATATTGAGTGCAGCACTTTCACAGCACCATCTTTTAGGATTTGAAGTAGCTTAGCTGGAATTCCGTCACTTCCACTAGCTTTGTTCATAGTAAAGCTTCCTAAGGCCTGCTTGACCTCACACCCCAGAATGTCTGGCTCTAGGTGAGTGACCACACCATTGTGGTTATCTGGGTCATTAAGACCTTTTTTTATACAGTTCTTTTGTGTATTCTTGCCACCTCTTCTTAATTTCTTCTGCTTCTGTTAGGTCCATATTGTTTCTGTCCTTTATAGTGTCCATCTTTGGTTGAATTGTTCCCTTGGTATCTCTAATTTTCTTGAAGAGATCTCTAGTCTTTCCCATTCTATTGTTTTCCTCTATTTCTTTGCACTGTTCCCTTAAGAACGTCTTCTTATTTCTCCTTGCTCTTCTTTGGAATTCTGCATTCAGATGGGCATATCTTTCCTTTTCTCCTTTGCCTTTCTCTTCTCTTCTTTTCTCAGCTATTTGTAAGGACTCTTCAGACACCTGTTTGCCTTCTTGCATGTATTTTTCTTGGGGATGGTTTTGACAATGTCTCCAGTACAGTGTTATAAATCTGTGTCCATAGTTCTTCAGGCACTCTGTCTTTCAGATCTAATTCCTTGAATCTATTTGTCACTTCCACTGTATAATCATTAGGGATTTGATTTGGGTCATACCTGAATTGTCTAGTGGTTTTCCTACCTTCTTCAATTTAAGTCTGAATTTTGCAATAAGGAATTCATGATCTGAGCCACAGTCAGCTCCCAGTCTTGTTTTTGCTGACTGTATAGAGTTTATCCATCTTCGGCTGCAAATATTATAATCAATCTGATTTCGGTATTGACCATCTGGTGAAGTCCATGTGTAGAGTCATCTCTTGTGTTGTTGGAAGAGGGTGTTTGCTGTGACCACTGCATTCTCTTGGCAAAACTCTGTTAGCCTTTGCCCTGCTTCATTTTGGACTCTAAGTCCAAACTTGTTTGTTAATTCAGGTAACTCTTGACTTCCTACTTTTGCATCACGATTCCCTGTTATTAAAAGGCCATCTCTTTTTGGTGTTAGTTCTAGAAGGTCTTGTAGTTTTTCATAGAACTGTTCAACTTCAGCTTATTTGGCATCAGTGGTTGGGGCATAGACTTGGATTACTGTGATATTGAATGGCTTGCCTTGGAAATGAACCAAGGTCATTCTGTCACTTTTGAGATTGCACCCAAGTACTGCATTTCAGATTCCTACAGTGACTATAAGAGCTACTCCATTTCTTATAAGAGATACTTGCCCACAGTAATAGATATCATGGTCATCTGAATTAAATTCACCCATTCCCATACATTTTAGTTCATGAATTCCTAAAATGTCAATGTTCACTCTAGCCATCTCCTGTTTGACCACTTCCAATTTACCTTGATTCATGGACCTAACATTCCAGGTTCCTGTACAATATTGTTCTTTATAGTATCAAACTTTATTTTCACCACCAGACACTTTCACTCTGCCTGGTGTTTCTGCTTTGGCTCAGCCTCTTCATTCCTTCTGGAGCTATTTCTCCACCCTTTTCCAGAAGTATATTGGGCACTTACCAACCCGGGGAGTTCATCTTTCAGTGTCATATCTTTTTGCCTATTCATACTATTTATGGGGTTCTCAGGGCATGGATGCTGAAGTGATTTTCCATTCCCTTCTCCAGTGAACCATATTTTGTCAGAACTCTCCACTATGACCCATTCATCTTGGGTGACCCTACACGGCATGGCACATAGTTTCATTAAGTTGCACAAAGCTGTGAACCAGGTGATCAGTTTGGTTAGTTTTCCATGATTGTTGTTTTCATTCTCTCTGCCCTCTGATGGATGAGGATAAGAGGCTTGTGCAAGCTTCCTGATGTATGGGACTGGCTGTGGGGAAAACTGGGTCTTGCTTTGGTGGGCAAGGACATGCTCAATAAATCTTTAATCCAATTTTCTGCTAATGAGTGGGGCTATGTTCCCTCCCTGCAGTTTGACCTGGGACCAAACTATGATTGGGATAATGGCAACCTCCTTCAAGAGGACTTATGCCAGCATGCTGCGCCTCCCAGGGCTGCTGCTGTCAGTGGCCCTAACCCCACGGCATGTCATTGTTGACCCAGGCCTCCACCGGAGACTCCCGATCACTCACAGACAAGTCTGGTCAGTCTCTTGTGGGTCCACTGCTCCTTTCTCCTGAGTCCTGGTGCAGACAAGGTTTTGTTTCTGCCCCCTGAGAGTCTCTGTTTCCCCAGTCCTGTGGAAGTTCTGTAATCAGATCTCACTAATCTTCAAAGTCAGTTTCCCTGCAGATTCTCAATCCCTTTGTCAGATTCCACGGCTGGGAAGTCTGTTGTGGGGCTCAACAGTGCCAGAACTTCTTTGGTGTAATTGTTCTCCAGTTTGAAGATCGCCCACCTGGCAGCCCTATAGTGGGGTTAATGGCTACCTCCTCTAAGAGGACTTCTGGCACAAACAAAATAAAGTAGCTATGGAAATAACTAGGTGACACTATGGTGTGATTTTGGACAAAGTCCTTGTATTGTTAAGAATGTGAGTTTTCTGAGCTGTGCCAGACTTAGAATGCCATCAGCCATTCTAAAAGCAAAATCTGCCAGCAGCAGGTGACAACAATCTTATTTTTAAAGGTCTTTTGTTGTCATTGTTGTATGTTTAGACAATGAAATTGCTCTGGGCCATATGTTGGAAAAACAAAACAGAAACGGCTGATTCATGTCAATGTATGACAAAAACCAGTACAATATTGTAAAGTAATTAGCCTCCAGCTAATAAAAATAAATGAAAAAAAAAAAAAAAACGCATGTGTAACGACCAAGAGCCACATGAAAGGTTACGATCTACTTAGATAAACCTAGACAACTAAATGAAGATCCCCATTAAAATCCTACAGGGAGACTGAGAGTGGTAACTGAAATGTCTTTAGCTATGTACCCCGAGACTGAGAAGACTGTGTGCCAACCCAAATTCACTCATGTCTCATTTGGAACCTTTCGAGTGTATTTACACTCAGGCAGAAAAACCAGGTGTCTACTTGATCCTGATCAAACTGCACTTTCTCTTTTGGACCCAGGAGATTCATCTCTGAGTAAACAGGAACTTCTAATGGACATGTCCCATTTGAAATTTTCTTCTCACCCATAAGACATCGTCGAGAGGTCGCGTTGCTGCCACCACCCAGCCTCATCATGATTACCTCCCACAGAAGGAACCCAGCTTCCCAAAGCCCCAAACCGCTCTGGCTCAGGCACTGACACTTGAGGGATCCTCCTGGAACCCCACCGCCCCGCCACGTGTTGCCTTGTTCTGTGGGACTAGGGGACATTTCTCCACCTTCCTCCTGTGACTGCAGCTCTTAGATCATCACTCTAGGTGTGGGGGTGTCCTGCTTCTCCTAGTGTCCCCACTGCTAACATGGCCTGTCACAGAGCACAGGCTCTGTGAAGTTCTGTGGAATAAATGAACCAGGGAGCAGGGCCTTATTTAGTCAGATTAATTTTCTCCTAGTTTCTTAAATAATAACCTGGGAAAATCCAAATAAACTGAGATAACTTAGCTGTATAAAATGACAGACAAAAAGTATAAGAAACAAGATTTCACTATAATCACATTTTATTTTCTAATTCTTTCACCAAGAACATTACTGCTAAGTAAATTCACATTTCCAAAATAGTTATAAATCCAATCTCATGTTACCATGTTCAGGGTCACAAAATAAAATGGGAGTTCCCAATCTCTTTTAAAAACCAGCAAAACTCTTGTCCTTAAACTAGGTAAGTACAAATACATGTGTGATCAATGTCATTCACAAAGTTAGATACTGAAGTTTATTAAGCCTTAAGCTGAAATACACATTTGAAAAATTCCTAAAAAACAGAGATGAATCTCCATGTCATCAGAGAGAAAAGGAACACAAAGATGCTACACACTGGGTTCCCCCAAGTGGCCCAGGCCCTCACTACTGAGAAGGCTCACCACCCCCTCTTCAATCACAGAGGGAAAGATCAGCCTGGCTGCTGCTCTGGCTCAGGGCCCCCTCTTCCTCCTCCCTCACATCCTCTGCAGAAGGGAGTGGGAAGGACCTAAAAGCCCTTCGGTTGACCCTGAGCAGATACTCCATGAATTTCTCCTTGCTGGTCTCCATAAAGGCCCGGGGACCCCACAGGAACTCATAGCGAGCAGGGTCGCTGTTAGGCACTTGTCAGTACTTCAGGTATCCCTCCCGCACCCACACTTGGGTTAGCAGCTCCCTGGGCTCGCCAAACATGGAGTGCTCCCTCCCAACATACACCCCCATCTTGTTGAGTGCTTCCCAGAGTTCCTCCTCAGGGCTGCGATCCCTATTCTGGAGGATCAGGCCATCACCAGGAGGCCGGCCTTGGGCAGGCCCTGCCCACCTCTCTGCATTGCATCACAGGTGAGGCCCAGGTTGGGGACCATGATGTAGATGTGCTTCCTGGGTCTACCTCCTTCATATCCACACCAAACACCAGCAGAATGCACTCAATCGCTTGGCAGAAGACCACCGGGTAGTGGTCCTGATTATCCCCGAGGACTGTATTCAGCAATTCAGCATAGGAGGTTGGCTCGTTGGCTCGATACTTGCAGAGCAGGAACTTCACCATCTTAGCCACCATTATATTCAGAGCTTCCTGGGGCAAGGCCTCCACAGGGGCTGATGAGGAGACTTGGGGGGAGGAGGCTGAGGGGGATGCAGCCTTCCTCCCCTCAGCCCCCAAAAGCTGTGCCTCCTCTGGGCCCTGGGCCTCACCTGGGTCCTGAAGGTCTTCCTTGGGCTTGCTCAGCTCACTCATCTCGACCATGAGCACGAGGCCTGGGATCGAACCACAGACAGGAGTGAGGCAGGGGACATTGGGAACCACGGGCCTCGGATGAGAAACACACCCTGGTCGACACAGGCCACTTACAGGTCTCCTCTTGAGGGGTGCTCTATGGCCTCACAGGGCCCTCGTCCTGGGTGGCCTGACCGCTGGCTGCCCGAAGGAGGAAGGGCAGCCAGCACAGCCTAAGGTTCTGGGGCTGACACAGTGGGGGGGATTAGGGCTTTGTGGGGTCCCCTCTGTTCTGGGATGGGGAGCCCCTGGTGCTCATTCAGGGCACCCTCCTCACCTTGACTCCTGGTACTGCCTGGACTTCCTCTGCTCTCGGACCTCTGGACATAGGCCTAAGACCTCTGCCTTTGCCTCCTGGTTCCTGGAGCTGCTGTGAAAAAAATGGAGGGGGCACCTCAGGGGTAGATTGTGGCACAGCCCTGGGCTCTGAGGTTCCCCCAGTTGTGGGGGAAGTGGTCCCCTTGTAGCTCCCTTGTAGTGCCCACCTTTCCCCGGCCACGGCCCTTTGAGGGCCTGCAGAGTTACTCAGAACAAGATCCGAGTCTGAAGGGAAAGCACGAAGGGGCTCCACGTGCGGCCGCAAGCGACCAGGGCCTCCCGCGGGTCCTAGGCTGGAGATGCTCCGTCCTCACCTCACGTCCAGCCTGGACTCCCAGCACTGACCACAAGGGTGGGTTCAGCTCTGCCCGGGAAGTCCACCATCTGTGGACCTGAAGCCTCTGCCCTCTGCCTGAACACTTCACCTCCCGAGCCCCTTAAGCCAGAAGTCGAGAAACTGCGCATCCTGGTCAACATGCTCTGAGACCTCTAGGACCCCCATCAAAGGCAAAGATCCCTCCCTGTGTTGAGGTCTAACCACCTCAGTCCTTCCTTGCCTGGAGTCTGGATTCCAGGCAGGACCCAGAACTGGCCCGTCCTCCATTTTGAGGCCCCGCCGCTCTCACCAGGTCCCCCGTCTCTCTGAGACCTGACGTCAGGAAATGCAGCACGAGGTCGTCCTGCCTGGGGACTACCAGGGTCCCCTCTGTTCTGGGGTCCGGCTCCCCTCACTCCTCCCTCGGGGTCCTCACCTGACTCCCGGTAGGACTGGGGCTCTGTCCTCCCCGAGTTTGAGGCCCGGCTCCTCACACCAGGTCCCCTGTCTCGCTGAGACCCGGAAGTCAGAAAGTCAGACCATGCCTGTTCTCATCCTTCTTCACTGCTGCCATCGACCGACAACAGAGATAGCTTTCTCTGAGGTCAAGGGCCCCCTAGTCCCCCCTCAGGGACCTCAACTTTATACCCCACAGGACCTGGAATTCTCCTCTCTGCCCACCTGAAGCCCCGCCACCTATAGCAGGTCCCCAGTCTCTCTGAGACCCGGATGTCAGGAAATGCGGCATGTGCTCATTCCACCCTATGTGCTCCCTGAGCCCACTCTGTGATGGGATCCAGGTTCTCCTCAGTCTTTTGTCAGGGTCCTCACCCAGACTTCTTCAGAACCTACTGTTCTCCCCTTCTCCTTCTAAGGCCCGCCCCTTATATCAGGTCCCCAACCTGTCAGAGACAGGGATGCCAAAGTTAGGGACATGCTGCCAAGTGCTCATGCCGCCATAAGGGATGCCTAGGGATGACAGCAGGGGTGGGATCCATGAGGTCCTTGTGTCCTCCTTGGGGTCCTCATCTTGAGCTCTGGAGGGTACAGGATGTCCCTGAATTGACCCAAGGCTGGATCCTCACACCAAAGCCCTCATTGCTGTTAGACCACAGCTTCCAAAGCTGCTGGTCTCCTGGAGCAGTGGAATGGCCTCTACGAAGCACATGTGAGGTGCACACTGGGATATGAGAGCCCGTGATGCTGGGGTTTCACCCTCCAGGGACTAGACAAACTCCACATCTGTCATCATTAGTTCCCCCACTAAGTAAGATACATGGCCCTGGAACCAGAGGGAGCAGTGACCCCACCTACCACCACTCCCAGTGACCCACAAGGGAACTTGTGCTTCTGGTCCCCCATGTAGGTTCTGCAGTTCCTCAGCGGGGCTATCTAGCCATTAGCCACTTCTAGCTATTTACATTTGACTTCACATTATGTTAAGGCAGAAGGCCAGGCCCTGGGACACACTAAGTACATTTGAGTTCACAATACCCAGTCTTATGTGGTTACTGGTTACTCTATTAATGGTGGTGACAGGACATGCTCTTCCCAAAGGGAGATGGTTCCCTCAGGAAATATCATAACAGTCCTACTAACCTATGAGCCATGGTTCCCACTTGGTACTTGGTGTTCCTCTCCACAGAGGTTCAGGCACCAGTTTCCCATCCATGTGTCTCCTCTTCTCCTGACCCGGACCTGCCACATGAAGGGAAAGGGAGAGAAGGATGGATCCCAGAAGGAGGGCAGAGGGCGAGGACTCATGTGGTCCTCATGTGGTTCTGGTTGAAGCTCAGCTCGACTCCTAAGCTGCATCCTTGCCCCTTGCTCCCAGGGCTCTCCACCCTCCTCAGTTCATCTGGCTTTACCACCCCCAGGATATCATCTGCAGTGCCCAGAATCCAAAATGATCCTTCCTCTTCTACCCTGTCTACATCACAACTGTCATGGAGGGCTCTAGGAAGAGAGTAGTTCTCCTAAAAACACCCACCTTCTGACTGTGCCACTGGGAGGAGCCCAGGTCCTCACCCTTGGCTCTGAATGGATGGCATCTGGACAGATCTTCCATCAGTCAGTCAGGCAGGAGCCTTTCCTGCCTCTTGGGAGTTCAGCCCCATGGATGTGGCACCACCTGCATCCAAAATACCTTTCCATCCCACCCCAGGCATCAACACAAATGGAATGCTTTTCCCCCAAACAACATGCTATGGTTATTTAGATGAACCGTTTTTTCTATCTTTGTATTAAAATCTTGGTGAATTATTCATGTATTTATTTCCAAATTGTTGTAGGTTTACATAAGGATCCCGTTTCTTGCAGGCAGCTTCCAGGAAGCAGAGGGAGAAGAGATGTGAACAAGGACCTGGAGTCTCTCCCCTGCCCTGCAGTGTACTCGGTGCTCAACAGACAGCAGCTGGTTGGTATAGCTTGTGATGAAGACAATCCCCTTCACGTGTTGAGGAGTTTCTGAGAAAGCCCAACGTGCCTTGAACCTTCAACTGTTTCTAATCACCACTCCGTATCATCAGCACTTGCAAATGCAAGATCTGATTTAGCTTCCAAAGCTTTTGTGAATGTCAGGGAGGGGTCCCCCGACTCCCTCCAGTGTTCTTTCTGCCCTTCCCTCTACAGTGATGCCGCCCACAGTCTCAGCAGACTGAGGATGTGCCCCTGCCTCCTGATGCCAGGACAATCTCCCCCTGCGAATCGCAGCTGCCTCCACACAATGGAACTTGCTTGAGCATTTGCACAGGTGCCCACAGTCTCCCTGACAGCCATGAGCTTCATGAGGGGCAGGTATCAGACAAGCGACAGTGAGAGGACAAGGACAGTGGGAGTTTTCTTTATAAAATCCAGCTAGGATATGCACCTGCCTTCACCTCCACGGAGGATTCTGAGGTGTATGAATTCAAGTTCAGTGCAGTTTATATGGCTTTGGGGTCTAACCACCTAGGAAAGCTGACCCATCAGTTGAAGTGTCCAACTGCCAGTTTCAAAGAACCCCATTAAAATCTTACCAGAAGACTGAGGGTGATAATCAAAATGTCTTCAAATATGTATCCTGAGACTGAGTCGACTATGCACTGAAACAAATTCACTCATTTCCCATTTGGAAACTTTCTAGTGTATTTAGCCTAAGGCAGAAAAACCAAGTGTCTACCTGTTCTGACCAAAGCACACTTTCTTTTTGAGACCCAGGAGATTTTTGGAGAGAAGATGAACTTCTAACGTGCATGTCCGATTCTAGACTTTCCTCTCACTCATAAGACCCCATCTACAGTCTGGCTGTTGCCACCACTCAGGTTCATTACCATCACCTCCCACAGAAGGAACCCAGCTTCCCAAGGCCCCAAACCACCCTGGCTCAGGCACCAACACTTGAGTGCTCCTCTTGGAGCCCCACCACCCTGCCCCATATTGCCTTGTTCTTTGGGACTTGGGGACGTCTCTCCACCTTCCTCCTGTGACTGTGGCTCCTAGACCATAGCTCTAGGTGTGGGGGTGTCCTGCTTCTCCTAGTGTCCCCACTGCTAAGACAGGGCCTTCCACAAAGCAGAGGCTCCGTGAAGTTCTGTGGAATAAATGAGCCAGTGAGAAGGGGGCTTATTAATCTCATCAATTTTCTCCTAGTTTCTTAAATAATAACCTGGCAAATCCAAGTAAACAGATGTGGATCAGCTGTAGAAAAGGACAGTCAAAACCTATAAGAAGTGAGAATTCACTACAATCATTTTTTATTTTCCAATTCTTCCACCAACTATATACTGCTAAGTAAGTTCACATATCCAAAATAGTTGTAATTCCAATTCTTTATGATGTTGCTCAGGGTCATGAAATAAAATGGGAGAGTTACCAGTCTCTTTTACAAAACAACAAAACTCTGGTCCTTAAACTGGTTAAGTACAAATACATGTGTGATCAATGTCATTCACAAAGTTAGATACTGAAGTTTATTAAGCCTTAAACTGAAAAAACACATTTGAAAAATTCCTAAAATCAGAGATTAATTTCCATGTCATCACAGAGAAAAGGAACACAAAGATACTACACACCGGGTTCCCCTAAGTGGCCCAGGCCATCACTACTGAGAAGGCTGACTGCTCCCTCTTCAATCACAGAGGGAAGGATCAGCTTGGCTGCTTCTCTGGGTCAGGGCTCCTATTCCTCCTCCCTCACAGCCCCTGCAGATGGGGGTGGGAAGGCCCTGGAAAACCTTTGTTTGTCTTTGAGCAGATACTCCATGACTTCCTACTTGCTGGTCTCTGCATAGGCCCAGGGACCCTACAGGAACTCAAGCAGGGTCGCCAGGCACCTGCTGGTACTCCAGGTACCCCTCTTGCACCCACACTTGGGTCAGAAGCTCCCTGGGCTCCCCAAAGACATAGTGCTCCCTCCCAACAAACATCCCCATTTGCTGAGTGCTCCCCAGACCTCCTCCTCAGGGGCACGGTCTCCATTCCACATCAGGCTGAGGACCAGCACCAGGAGGCTGGCCTTGGGCATGCTCTGCCCACTGCTCACCATTGCATCGCAGGTGAGGCCCAGGGTGGGGACCATGATGTAGATGTACTCCGTGGGGTCCACCTCCTTCACCTTCACACCACAGACCAGCTGCAGGCACTCCGAGGCTTGGCTGAAGACTACCAGGATGTGCACCTGGTTATCCCTGAGGACCTTCTTCAGCATTTCCGCCTGGGAGGTCAGCTCCTTGGCTCAATACTTCAGGAGCAGAAACTTCATCAGGTTAGTTATCATCTCCTTCAGAGTTTCCTGGGGCAAGGCCTCCATAAGCGTGGAGCAGGAGACCAGGGTCACGAGGCCGAGGCAGATGCAGCCTCTCCTGCCTCAGCCCCCAACAGCTGCGCCTCTACCGTGCCCTGGGCCTCGCCTGGGTCCTGGAGGTCTTCCTCGGGCTTGCTTGGCTTGCTCAGCTCACTCATCTCGACCATGAGCATGATGCCTGGGATCAAATCACAGACAGAAGTGAGGCAGGGGAATAGACGGGGACCACCCGCCTGGGCGAGAGAGGGGGTGTGAGCAGCCTCGGCTGAGAAACGCACCCTGGGCAGTCTGACACAGGCCACTTACAGGTCTCCCCTTTAGGGGTGCTCTCAGACCTCACAGGGGCGTGCCTCCAGAGTGGCCAGTCCCCTGGCTACCTGAAGGAGGAAGTGACGTGGCTCACCGGGGTGCAGTCAGCACAGCTCGAGATGTCCAGTGTGACAAGGTATGGGAATTAGGCCCTTGTGGGTTCCCCTCTGTTCTGGGATGGGGAGCCCCTGGTGCACACTCAGAGCACCCACCTCACCTTTACTCCTGGTACTGCCTGGAGCTCCTCTGCTCTCTGACCTCAGGACATGGGCCTCAGAGCTTTGCCTTTGCCTTCCAGTTCCTGCAGCTCCTGTGAGAGAAATGGAGGGGGCAGTTCAAGGGTATCCTGTGGCACAGCCCTGCCTTCTCTGATGGTAAGAGGGGTGGACTCTGTGAGGTCCCCTCAGTTATGTGGTGGGAGGTCCCCTTGGGATTCCCTTGTAGTGTTCACTTTTCCCCTGTCACGACCTGGTCCCTCCCCTCTGGGGGTCTGCATGGAAACTCAGAACAAGACGCAAGCCTGAACAGAAAGTGCTAAGTGGCCCCACATGTGGCTGCACCTACCAAGGACCTCCCATGGGTCCTAGCCTAGGGAGATGCTCGGTCCTCAGCTCCTCCTCATGTCCTGACTGGCCTCCTAACACTGACCACAGGGGCGGGGGTCTGCTCAGTCCTCCCTCGGGGTCCGGGGAGTCCACCCTTTGTGGCCCTGAAGCCTCAGCCCTCCGCCTGATCACCTCAGGTTCTGAGGTCCCTAAGTCAAAGGTCAAGAAACTGCTCACCCTGTTCACCCTGCTCTGAGCACTCCAAGAGTCCCCACAAGGGCCAAGATCCCTCCTTGTTGGGGTCTAACTGCCTCAGTTCTTCTTCGCATGGAGCCTGGACTCCAGACAGGACCGGGATTGTCCTGTCCACCATTTTGAGACCCCACCATGTTCATGAGGTCCCCAGTCTCTCTGAGACCCGCATGTGAGGAAGGCAGACAGGCCGAGTGTGCTCTTCTCGCCCAAGGGCTCCCACGGCCAACTTCAGGGGCGGGGATCTGTAGGGTCTGTCAATCCTCCCTCGGGGTCCACTCAGTCCTCCTCAGGCACCTCACCTTGCTCCCAGGCAGGACCTGGATTCTCACCTCTCCCCAACTGAAGCCTCGCCCCTTATACCAGGGCCACAATCTCTTGAAGACGCAGATGTCAGGAAGTCAGAACATGCCTGTTTCACTCATTCTACTCCAAAGTCACCCTGGACTGACAACAGAGACGGGGTTCTCTGAGGTCTCTTCTGACTGTGGCTCACGGTCCCCTAGTCCCTCCTCAGGGTCCTCAACCAGACTCCTCGCAGGACCTGGGAATCTGCCCTCCTGAGTCCCCACCCCATATGTGAGGTCTCGGTCTGAGACCCAGATATCAGGAAGTCCTCCCACATCCCTAGCCTGAGACCCATATGTCAGGAAGTCTGACCACATCTGTTACATTCATCATACCCCAGGGATGCCAAGGACCAACAGCAGGGACCGACTTCTCTTAAGTCTCCTCTGATTGGGGTCCACCAGGTTCCCCTCATTCCTCCCTCAGGGTCCTCACTTAAACTCCTTCAGAACCTCAGAATCTCCTGTCCAATCTCTGAGGCCCCGCCCCTTATATCACGTCTCCAGTGTCCCTAGACCCTGTGCCCATGCATCCAGCAGAGTCGCCTCGGGCTGAAAGCAGGTTCCAGGACCTGTGGGGTTGCCTGTGTCCTCCCTCAAGGCCTCATCTTGAGCCCTAGCAGGTCTGGGGATGCCCCTTCTGTTGACCAGAGACAGGGCTCTCACACCAGGCCATCACTGCCCTGAGACCCCCAGGGGAGTCTGTGGACATGACATCAGGGCTTCCCAGAGCTGAGATGATGCCCCCTGAGTTCCTCAACCCTCCTTCTGCTCTTCACTTTGACTCTCAGCAGGCCTGGGTACCACCCTCTGTCCCTGACCTTGCTCCCCTGAGAACCAGGTCCTCTGCAGCCAGGACCCCGAGAGGCAAGCAGGAGTAGGGGGCTCATTCCCACAACCCTGCCGGGGTCTCCCAGGGCCGAGGGCATTGACGACCTGGATGTCCTGGGGTCCCAGAGCCCCCCTCAGGGTTCTACCTTGACTCCTAGCACAGCTGGGCTCCTTCACTCTGCTGACCTGAACCCAGGCACCTGACCCAGGCCCTCACTTCTCCCCTCCCATCGGAATCAGTGACATCACATCTGGATGCCACGACACATGGTCCCCCAGGGCTGTCAGGAGGGCTGCACATGCATGCCCTGGGGACCCTCAGTCTCCTCTGGTCCTCACCTCGAGTCTCTGCAGGACTTGGGCCCCTCCCTCTGCCCACCTGAGACTGTGCCCCAAAGACCAAGCCTCTGACTCCCCGAGTTCACTGAGGAAGTGAGGGGGTGTGGAGTCTCAGCCTGACAGCCTGAACTGGGGCTCCCAGGAGCCCCAGTCAGGGTGGAGTTGTATTCTATAGGATCCTCTGTTCCAGGGTGACTGGACCCCCTCGTCCTCTCTCGGCGGGGGGAGGGGGGAGCTCCTTAAGCCTTGAGAGAAGGCCGGTGTCCTAGCTCAGATGCTGGATGGGGGCTGCTATGCCCATGATCTTGGGGGAGAACAGGGAACCACTTGCCTTCCCATGGGGGCCTCTCAGCATCACCAGACTTTGGAAGCTTTTGTATAAATGATGTTGTTTTAGCTGAAGAGGGTGAGCAGCGGGCAGGTGAGTTAGCAAGAACTCAGCAGCCTGTAGATGGCCTTGGCTGCTCACAGTAACTTCACACTCCTCCTCCCTAGGGTATCCCTGGGGTCATTTCCTGGTGGCTCTCTTCCACTGGTCTGTATGGATCCCCCCTCCCATGGGCCCTTCTTGTGCAGAGTGGCCAGAGGGGCTCTTGGGGGTCAAGAACTCGTGAGTTGTGGGTTCTAAGTCCCTACTGGTCGGGCGAATTTAGACTCTTTCCCCAGAAAGGAGAGACATTCGGGAGGAGGGTGGGTGGCTGAGCTGCCCTGCCCCTGGGGCCCCTGAGGGCTGAGGACTCAGCCTCACTGCAGTCCAGCCCAGCCCCCATGATGGCCTGGCCACCCCCAGCCCCCCCACAACCCCTCAGAGCACTGCTCGGAGGCCGGAGTTGCTGCCTGAGCAAGGCTTGGGCATCCCCAGATTTGTTAAGGGTGGGGGCATGCAGAGCTCATCATCTGGGGGGTTTGCACAGGGCCTTGGGAGGCCCCCTGGCTGGGACCTCAGACCCTGGAGATGGGGACCATCCCTCCCTTTCCAGAGGTTCAGTGGATGGCTGAGCACCTTGCTGCCTGGTCACGGGTTCTGCTTGTGGGGTCGGGCGTGGACAAGACCCAGGCTGTGGTGTCTCATCAGCCTCCCCTGCCAGTTTGTAGCTCGATCCATCCCAGAGCCTTTCCTCATAACAGTTCCCATGGAGTCCCAGGCGGTTCCTCCTGCAGACAGCTAGCACTCCAGAGCACTTCCAGCTTTGCTCACCTTGTTTCCATCTTCCAGAAATCAGCTCCTTTCAGCCTCCCCACCTCATCCCTGTTTGGCCATGGCACCTCCCTTTGTGAAGGGACAGAACATGGGAGCCCAGGGGCCACTGAGGACCCAAAATGAGCACTCAGCTGAGGGAGGCTTGGGCAGAGCTGGTGGGAAATGAGTTGGCCATGGATCACCGGCTCCTCAGGATCTGCCCGGTTGAGCCTCCAGGGTCACCCTTACCTAGTTGGAGCACTTGTGAGGCAGGGCCCCTCTCTGAGACACCCTGTCTGGTTGAATTGCATTTCTACTCTCCTAGACACTGTTGCCTGTGTGGCCCTGGGGACAGAACCAATCCTGTGCCTCTGGAGCCGCCTGGCCTCTCCTCTGGTGACCAGGGCACGTGTGGGGCTCAAGACAGTTTGACTGTCCAGGGAAAGCCCATCAAGTCCATGCTCCCTCCCTTCACTCCCATGTGACCTTAGGCTGACGCCTCTGCCCGGCCAGGAGAACACATGCTTAGCCACTTCACTCCAGACATCAGTCAAAATCTACCAAGGACTGAGCAATGTACCACATGGGTCTTTTGATGTCAGGCAGCCTTGACTTTAAATAAAAGGTGCCTTTTGTGACAAGCAGATGACTTGAGATTGCAATCTGCCTATCTCTGCTTTCTCTATAGATTTACAGGTTAAGCAGGTGCAACACATGCTGAAGTTTCTGGGAATGTGATTTTTAAATAGCAGCATCTGCATGTGATTCCAGGTCAAGAGGCATATGGAAGTGAAGGCAAAAAAATCAAATGAAAACTTCTCAAAAGGTAAGGTGTTCCCCAGGCAGCGAACCTTCATAAGGGGCAGCGTTTTGGCTTGGAAGTGAGCAGCTTGGTCAGGCGTCATGGAAGCTCAGTGCTGGGGCTGACAAGAGGCCTGGCCTGCACCATCCCATGTCCTTTCTCAGGGCCTCCTCTGCCTGCACCAGACTGCCAACATGGGAGACCCAGCCTTTCGTTTCTGGTAGACTGGTGTGTGCGTTCTCCCCTCTCCTGACCTCGGAGCCCTTGTCTCTGCAGCATGACCCTGGAGGGCTATTTGC